TATATCTATTTATATCTATATTTATTTCTTTTACAATGTAAGACCTTGGGAAGCAGCTTTTAAAATTAAATCATTCCCTTAGTTTTGTGTGCAAAAGAGCCACCCACTTCCTTTTCCCCCTCATCTTTACACAGTGAGCTGACCCCCTCCTCAATGCTTTATGTCTGAGCTGTGGACATGTCAGCAGATGAGATGCACCACAGGAAATGCGATAGATTCCTGCAGTGTGGGACACAGGCGCTAGAGTCAGGCTGTTATTCTGCCAATTATTCCAATTCTACCATGGACGTCACAAGCTCTCATACCCACAGTAATACTTTCTTACTGCCTCATTCTGGGAGGGGGGGCATGATAGCAATTTTGACTTCATTAGACTGAGTGGCAACCTTTTGCACAGTCAAAGCTAAACACAAGCCTTCCAACTGTGACTTAATGGAACAAAAAAATGACTGAAAATTTACGGTTTTAAAAGCAAATGCTTGAAAGCTTTGCAGGCCATTTCTGTTATGTGTGTTTTGACTGACCTGACAGAGAAAAATAAAAAAAGAAATAATCTTTTCTAATCAGACAAAAATCACATCTTTTCACATTTATTGTAAATCTCTTCTTGCAAAAACTGTGCCATTTGGATGGAATCTGTGTAGCAGGGACTACAAATATCAAAAACTGTACTTACTGCACAGTGAATCATTCATACATATCTGAAAAGCGCATATTTTGCTTGCTTGGTTACGGATTTCCTGCCATTTAGCTCTTTGAGCATTCTGCCTACTTCCTGTTTAAAATATGTTTTTTACATTTACTTGGTGTCTTATTCAAAATTGTGTGTTCTAGTTCCTTTTAACCTCTTACTGTGAGAGGTGTATACAAATTGTGCATTTGTCTCAGTATCCAGGATGGACCTTAGCACCAGATGGTTCTTTGTTCATGGCAACTGTCAACGATGATGCAGCGGGCATGTACAGGTGTACTCCGTACAACAGCTATGGCACTATGGGCACATCTGGACCAACTAGTGTAATTCTACAGGTTAGTGTGCAGTCCAGGCCACCTGGGTCTCTCACCACAGGGATGCTGTGTATCACATGAAGCCACTGTAATGATGTACACAAGACAGATTACATTTCACGCACCACAAATACCGCCTTTGTGGTTTAGATGTGACCTAAAAGCTCATCGAATCTGCCTCCGAATCTGTCCTGTTCTTATGACTGAGCTGTCAATTGTGATAATTTTAATTAGCCACAACTGTATCTGTCACAGCGAATTAAAAACTTTAAGAGAAACGACATTTTATTGACCTTTTTACTCTGACGTGAGCCCTCTGACATTAATAGAAGTCAACTCAGAGTAACTACAATGGTGGCACTATTGGGGAGTTAATTGTGTGGCTAATCCTTTTGTTATTAAGATAATCTTGTCCAAAGCGGCAGTAATCCAGTCTTAAAATCCATTGTTGGGATTGCTGCGGACTCCTTAATTCAGCTATATTGTTTTGGCAATTCGCAGGATCCCCCTTCATTCAGCATCACTCCGGAGAAACAGTATAAAGTGGAGGCTGGTAGAACCCTGCTTATCCCCTGTCAAGGAAATGTGGACCCAACAATTAAAGTGACCTGGAGCAAGGTAAATTACCCACTGTGGTTTATTTAAAAAGCGAGCTGTCCTGTTTTATTCATGTCAGTGCAAATGCTTACACGGATCTTCAATTTATATTGTTTACTCAGAAATCAGAATCAGACACATGAGTCAGTGCTTGCACAGGACATAGAGTACATATGATGCAGTCTGGGTGTGTATATAAACAGATACATTTCCAGTTATTGTTTTCCTGATGTACTTTTCTAAATGAGTAAAGACAATATTTTTCACTCTTCCACCCTGCATCCATTTGACTCATGATGACTCATCTTGCACTTAGGGATGTATACATAAATGTATCCAGTAAAACACGTTGAGGGGTGACTGCCTAACCCCTCCCATCATATAAATCTGTACTTGACCTTAGCTTGTGGGTAGTAGTAGCTGGTGGAGCTGTATCATGTAGGAGGCGTGTGTTTTGATTGCAGTTGGCAAAAATTTTGTTTAGGCTTCCAAAGGACAGAGGTCTAATTTATTCATTTCTAGTTGATCCTCCTCCTCCTCATCTAAGAACATGGATAAAGGAGGTGTGGATGGATGCAAACAGTCCTGTACAGCTCTATGATGTGTTGTGCTGTAGGCACTTAACATGCCATCTTCTTAGTTATCTAAAGGATTTGAGCTCATCTCCTGTATAATAATATCCTACACGGATTTTCCAGTTCACTTGAAAATAAGTCGCATTACAGAAATAAGAGATGCTCTTGCTGCCATTTGACTAGTCCAAGAAGTAACTAGACGAAATGATGATGAGTGCAGCCAGAAGCAAAATCAGCGCATCAGTGTCTTTCCTTGCGAGAGATTGAGACCAGTCAGCAGTTGAAAGAGCAACTTTATCACCACTTTTTATTATGAAATTGCCTACTTTTCAATTTAAAAAGGACTTTATATCCACACTCACAAAAATAAGGGCAAAAATCGGATGGTTGTATAACAAAATTGCTATGCATGCTGTAAACTTTACGACTCAAATTTAGCAGAAATCTGCTGTTTAACATCCTTTGTCATTACATCTCAAATCCAGTCACTTGGAGTATAGACAGTAGACTGTATATAATGTGGGTATGACCTTAGTACACTCACCCAGCAGATATTTGAAGTTTTCACTTAACCATTTTGGCTACTGCCATAATTTTTGAAAACCAGACACTGTGAATTGGACCTTTGTTCCATTCCTGGTCTCTGTTGTGGCTCTGTTTCCTATTCTAGCCCACTTATCAAACAATCGGCATACACAGCATTGTCCATGTTGAGTTGGGGTCCAACATGTTTGCAGGGTTTGAAGGCTCTCCACAATACCTCTTCAATGGACACAACAACAGTATCATAAATGAATCATGTGATGTTTCTACAGTCATTGGTGTACAATCAGACCTCTTTTCACAAACAGGGCCCCCAGTGGCTATTAGAAGAATTGCAGGTTTAAGGCAGTTCTGCATTAGCTTTTCAAACCTAGAGGACTACATTCAATTTTTCAATGGAGCCCAAACAAAATCAATCAATCAATCAATCAATAAATAAGCTTATCAATAAATATATGTCCCAATATGTCTGATCAGCAATGCATATTAAATTGCCTATGAAATGCACAAGTTAAATTAACTCTTGACTTGTGTTTGATTTGTAATTTGTTTGTCCTAATATGTCCCAGCTATTTGTGGAAGTTATAAGATGTTTCATTCATGCTATAGGTACATCTGATTATGCCAACGCAGAGAGTTTTCTTCCACATGTGAATGGTTTCGGTGTTTTTGATAGGTCGGCCTGGCTCGTAGCGTTTCCTACTCCGTAGAACCGGATGGTTCTTTGCTGCTGCAGCCTTTGACCAAGGACCACCAGGGGGGGTGGGAGTGCAGCGCTTCTAATCGTGTAGCCTCAGTAAAGACCAGTACACACGTATTTGTTCTGGGTGAGTCCTGTCTAACAATACCATAACCACACAGTGATTACATGAGCTGTGCACATTTTTAGTTTTTACTTTCCCAAATTATTTTCTGTATACCTGTGTAAACCTTTATTACACCCAGCACAGGCCAGATGCCTGTGCCTCCACTCCGCCTCCGATGGATAAATGTGGTACAGAGAGAGATGGCCTCTAAACTCCAGGTAGTTGAAGTGCTGGCCGATTTCCATCAACACCTCTCCATTCCCTCCATTACAGGAACCAGTCCCCATGCGGCTACCTCTCTGTCCGTGTCTCCAGGGGTGAAGCAGGCCAACATATCCTGGGAGGCAGGCTTTGATGGAGGATCAGCACAGACATTTTCAGTTTGGTGGGTGTAAAGCCACCCACTTTCTTTTCGGGCAGTAACCATGGCAGCCATCGACAGCAGTGGTATCACTCTATTGATCTCCCGAATGAGGAGTTCATTTATCTGTTATCACTTGTTGGCAGCTTCAATAAAAAAAACGCTGCTACAGAGCATTACTTTATAATGCAGTGGCCATGCTAGCTACAATACAAGGTTACTGACAAAAGAGAGGATAATCTGCCTACTTTCTTTTCCTGTGAATCAGCACTTTTGTTCTGATGAATCATAGATGAATGGATTTTGTTTTAGATATGCTTGTGGTGTGATGGAGAGAATAAAAGGAATCTTAAATTGGTGGAACTTGGTCAAAAACAACCAGAATTATGTGTGCACTGTTAAAAATAAAGTTTAGCATGAACACGAAGTGTATATTTTCTAATTAATTTCAAGAAATAAATAATAAACTATATTTAGATCACCATGTATTTTTTATGTCAGAGAAAACTAGTACAGAGATACACAAAAGTTCTTCAAAGACCACACTGTAACCTGAGAGTGCTACATCAGATGAACATGAGATGAGCTGTCTTAATCCTTGAGAGGGAACTGGGTCAGTGCTACAGTAAGGAGCACATAAATAAATCTAAACGACTTCAAAAATACTAAAATAGATCAGCCATGAAGGATAAACAACCTCCCGAGTCTTGGCTGCAGCTTCCTTTGATAGCCTGTGGTCACAGCATGTGTTGCCGTGACCACAGGTTAAATGAAAACACTACAGTGAGAAAAGCAAGAGGATGATCGTCTTACTATAAGAAGTTCAGCATATAAGGAGATTTGGGTATAATGTGAAAGTTATACCTATGGAAACTTTAATCACCATACATTTCAGTTATGTCCACAAATGATTAAAAAAAACAAACATGTTCTTGTTGCACTTTGTCGCGTCTAGCAGAAGAAATGTTAAAAATCATGCATATGTGTTATAGCTCTTTGGGCAGCTTTTTATTCCTCTTGAAAATGAAATAAGTCTCTGCTCTTGTAATTTTCCTAATAAAAGTGATTTGCTTATTGCAGAACACAGTAAAATAAGGTCTCTGCACTGAATTCTTTGTACACTTGAATATCAAAAGAGAAAGTCAGCTTAACCATGTTAATGTTACCAGTAGCACTGATGGAGTCCAAGTCATCATTTAAAAACAAAACAAAACCTGCTTTTCTGAAACTGGTATTAATATTTCTTCTGCTGTTTTTGAATAGGTGAATAGGGTATTTTTTAGCCTTAAGGTCAGGTAATTTTCTCTGTAGAGAAAAGACGTGTAGAACCTCAGCTCTGTTAGAAACATGAAAATCACTATAATTGGAGTTGCAAGCTCTCTGTGCAATTTCACAGGATACATCAGTGCCGTCTCTGCCACACATTCTGGAGCTGATGACGAATATGAATGTTTAATGAAACCTACTTTTCTGTCATGTTTCATAAAATCACACTCCCAGAATTCCCTGCTCCTCTTTTGTTCTCACTCCTTTTCTCTTTGTCTCGCCTCCTCTGCAGGGTGAAAAAGATTTCAGCAAGTGATGATGATGGGAAGCAGGACTGGTTCTCTGTGCCTGTGCCCCCCTCCTCTGGCACTAGGCTGCAGGTGACAGGCCTGTCTCCTTCCACCGACTACCAGTTCAGTATCCTGTCTCAGAATAAAATGGGAACTGGCCCCTTCAGTGACATCGCCACTACACGGACTTTGGGTCAGTATCATCCCCTGGTTTTATCTAAATCTGTCTATGGAGCTGCAATTTCAAAGGATGATCTTATTTTGGCACAAAATGGAGATTTGCTGTCTGATTCACTCCAAAGCTCCAAAGCTAACAAATCTATTATCAGATGTTTGTATTCCTCCTCACTCTCAGCTGCAGCTAATTAAGGTTAATTCTGCCCAAAGGCCAAAAGCAAACTTTAGCTGTTGTGTGATAAATACACGAGTCAGCTCTCAGTGACAATAATAATGTTCTTGCAGTACAACTAACTTTGTGACTGAAGAAGTCTGTAAGTTATTCCATCAGTTGGTCTATTCCCCAGCACAAACCTAAACATCATTTTCAGTCATGATTTTCGGTGCCTAGAAGATGAAACCTAATGGGTTTATCTCATCTTTCACATTTCAGGCTCGGTCCAAAAATTGATTAACTGGTTCGCATACATGTGTTGTTTCTTATCTCACCATTGCTACTTTTAAATACAGACTTAAAATGCCAAATAAACACATAAAACAAAAGGTCTGCACACTCATTGCAACTCTTATAGCATTCTTTGATCCCATTTAAGCATTCCTGTAGTGACACAAACTGGAAACAAAATACAGTGCAGTGAAACAGGATTTCCTCTCTTCACGATTTCTTATTTTTCTTTTTTATGTTTGCTACACGTTTCAAATCAAAAAAAATTAACGTTAGACAAGGTCAACTAAATGAATAATATATGCAGTTTTTAAATGATGATATAATTTATTAAGGGGGTAATAAGCAAACCTACCTGTGCCTGTGTGTGGAAAAAAAGTTGGCCCTAAATCTAATAACCTTCTTATCGCTGGGGAGCAATTTTGGCCCACTCTTCTTTGTAGAATTGTTTTAATTCAGGCACGCTAGAGGGTTTTCAAGCATTAAAGGCCCGATTTAGGTCATGCAAAACCATCTCATTTGAATTTAATTCCAAACTTTGACTAGCTCACCTTTGTTTTGTCTGTTTGAACAATTCAGAGGTGGACTTGCTGGTGTGTTTCAGATCATTGTTCATAGGTTACTTTTTCACATAGGTTTGGATAGCTTTTTTTAAAAATTACATTTTGTATTCACTCAAGTGATCTTTGTCTAATATAAAGTTTTTTTTTAACTTTAAACTAGCGATATCCCCATTAGCTTGCGCTAAATAATGCTAAGACACTAAACAGAGATAAAAACATATATAAAGCTTAGCATGTAAGCACTGTCAGAGCAGTATAAATAGAGAGAGCTGCCAGCATGCCTGTCACTCTTTTTCATGTTTAACTTTTTTTTTTTTTCCCAGCATTGGGCCCATATGTTCAAAGGTATTTTGTGTGATTTACAGCTCTCTGGTGTCATCAAAAAATTATCAAAATTTAGCTTAGGGCAAAAACCAACATTAAAATGCAATGTTTATACACTCAGTGGCACTACTCTTTTCTTCATAGATGAATGGATAGTACATTAAAATCCGTTTAGTCCTCTGCCTCAGACTCGTGAAGGCTGGAGTTGTGGCTGTTGCAGTCTGTGGAAATGTTGTTAAATGCAGATTTTTCTTTTCCTTGCTAGAAACATTTTTTTCATTCCAGTCAGAGAAAATATATCTGTGAGACATCTGAGAGATCATGGAAATTAATTTGAAGGTGAAATCCATTGGATAGGAAGTAAAAAGATAACATTTAGATTTTTATTTTTTAAGATATTTATGTTGGGAGCCAAAAAAAATAAAATAAAGGCTAGACTCAGGGGAAACAAACAACCTGATCACGTTAGTTTGTCTTTGTTAAACATTCATGGCAGCAGTTAATTATAATAATATGATAATCCTGAAAATAAGGAGTAAGCATGCTATATCAGTGGTTTCAGTTAGGAATTAGATAGATAAAATTGGATGGATGGATATGTTTTATCAAAAAGTCTTGAATTTACCAAACTGCATAAAGATGACTATGTATTTCTTGTTTGGTACACTGCAAAAGACTAATGTCAACCTCTCTCTTATTCCCCTCACATTCTGAAGATTGAGCATCAGTGGCTGTAGCAATTTCCTCTGGTGTAATTTAATTTTTCCGCCAGAACATATCAAGCTGATCGACTGAAGCTCTTTCTCATTCTCTCTGCATCAGATCCTCCACCAAGGAAAAATAAACTAAAGCCCCCTGCATTGCTGTCAGCTAATCGGAGTTCAGCAGGTGTTGTTCTGCAATGGTCCCTTTCTGAAGCACAGCACCCTCCCGTCACTGGCTTTGTTCTCCAATCCCGCACCGAGCAAGGGGAGTGGTTTAATTTGGACGAGGACATCAGTGCCAACAGTAGCGAGATAGTGGTTCCGGGTCTGCACAAGGTAACAAGCCAGACACGCTGCTCCCTGCGAGACTAATCAGTCCATGCTCCCTGTTGAATGCCTTTGAGATTTTTATCTAAGCTTTCCTTCCGTGGTTTTACTTTTTCAGACTCTCAATTATACACACTTCATGGCAGTCATCACTTTTCTGTCATATTTCAATCTGCATGCGTTGCCTTTTTTTTTTCCTCCTCCAGTCTGTTTCATCCTTCCTCTTTCTCTCCTGTATAGGCCTACATGAATTCAAATGAACGTCATTAGCATTGCAAGCACAATCCGGTGTTGACAAAGTGTGGTTTCATCCTCTGTCCTCCCCACTGTGTGTGTGTGTTTGTGTGTGTGCGGATGCTGGTCTCAGGACTGTGTGTACGAGCTGCGACTTCTATCTCGACGTGGGGACTTGCTGAGCGAGCCCAGTCCATCAGTCAATGTCTCCACTGCAGGTAGGTTTGGTGAGCAACCTTGCTCACTTCACATTTGTTCCCCACCTTCTGTTTGAACCCATTCTACTTCCTCAGTCTCCTTGTCCTAACTCTTTCCCCCCTCTTTCTATATTTCTTATCCCATCCCTCTGTTCCGAGCGTTAGACTAAAATTAGAGCAGGGCCTCAGGGAAAGCTGTCCATTAGAAGCCTGAATGATTGAAATGGCTCCACTAATAACTTCTCAAAAGACTTAGTGATTGAATTTGCACTTTTCTTATTATTATGTGAATATGGCATGAATGTTACATTAGCTAGAGTACAGAGATATTAAACAGAGAAATCTGCAACCCCTAATGGTGTAGGACCATCAGCACCAAAACAATATCCTGTTGATTAACACAGCTCTGCTGATAATCTCAGTTTTACATCTGACAGATTAAGTTATGCAAAATAATTAAGTTGCTGATTTGATGAACATTATTATCAGGGATGTAGACTGGAGATTAAATCTACCTAAAAACCTTTTAATCATGTAGAATGTAAATTCATTGTTTTAGTATTATTCAGTTGTTACTATTGTTCTCAAGTTTGTGCTTTCCCCTTTAATCAAGTATATATTTATGTAATCCTATAGTTCTATCCATCTATATCCTTCCCTCTCCATCCACACACACACACACACACACACACACACACACACACACA